CATGCATGTTTTGTTTTTGTGTGAAGGGAGTTGTTGGGCGTTCTCGACTGTGGGGGCAGTGGAAGGCTTAAACAAGATCGTGACGGGAGATTTAGTAACTTTATCAGAACAAGACTTGATTAATTGTAATAAGAAGAGTAATGGTTGTGAGGGAGGCAAAGTCGAGACTGCCTATGAGTTCATCATTAACAATGGAGGTCTTACTACCGACAAGGATTATCCTTATAAAGCTGTTAATGGAGTTTGTGACGGGCGCCTCAAGGTCAATATGTATAATTACAATAATACATATATAGAGATGATGTCTCTACAAAAACAAGAAGTTAGTTTCAATTATTTTATTTTAAAAATATTTGTGTAGGACAACAAGAATAATGTTATGATTGATGGGTATGAAAATTTGCCCCCAAACGACGAACTCGCTCTAACAAAAGCGGTTGCTCACCAACCTGTGACTGCCGTGATTGATTCCAGCACTCGGGAGTTTCAGCTTTATGAATCGGTAAAAACAAATTTCTTCAATATTTTTTTTTTTAAAGAAGGTTTTGTTTTTTATGCAATGGTTGTTGCATTTTTTTTTTTCAAATCAAAGGGAGTTTTTGATGGAACGTGCGGAACAAACCTAAACCATGGAGTTGTTGTGGTCGGATATGGAACCGAGAACGGTCGTGACTATTGGATTGTGAGAAACTCATGGGGCAATACATGGGGAGAAGCTGGCTACATGAAGATGGCTCGCAATATTGTGCATCCAAGAGGTTTATGTGGCATCGCGATGCGAGCTTCATACCCGCTCAAGAACTCGTCTTCTACTGCTAAAAGCTCTCTCGTCTGATATGAACTAAGTGTTAATTTGGAGTGTGCCAAAAACCTATTCGACTTTGAAGGAGCAATAATGTAGTCGATAAGTTTGGTTTGTAATATATTTTGGATTTGTGTGTTAATGTTTGGATTGTAATATCTATGGTTTAAGTCGATTGAGGGTCTAAATAGTGATAAACATATTCCGCCTTCTATCAAAATATTAAATGCCAGCCTTAAGAAAAACCGGATGAAATATTGGTCGTAGCCAAATTGAGAAGAAATTAAATTCCTAAGAGCATCTTCAAGAGTTCAACCATGAGAATTCCATAGGGTTTCTAAAACAAAAAAAAATTAATATTTTAGTAAGAAAAAATTGTGTAATTAATTTTTTTCTTAAAGGATTGAGTCAATTACTAATTGACAATTATCACATGGAGTTCTAATGAGTTTCTCGAAC